CTTTATTAACGTCGCCCTATTTTCTCTTAATACCAAGCAATTTTTTCTTCTCTGTCAGAGACATGAGTCTGAGAACACTACGTCAACCACCATTTCTTTTTCTATTGAGGTCACATTTGTACCACATGGGCTTTCTTTACAAAAAGAGTCTTAATTTTCATTTAGTGGGATCTCATAAATGTACAGTTATTTCACCTCTTCCAAAACAAAACATTTACTCATCTACCTCACATTTTCAGCCATCGTCCATACTTCACGTTGTTGTTTAATAGGCTCTGAAACTTTTGGGCATTACAATATTTAGAAGAAATAAAATTTTTTTTAGTTGAATTTACACACACACACACGCACACACACACACACACACACACACACACACACACAATATATATATGCTAAAGTACATTAAATTATACTTCTCCTGTCTTTATTAATTCAATTTCAACATACTGAAATCGGGTTGTTTTTTTATTGATTTGTTTTAGTTGAAAAATGAAAAGAGGACACTGCTGCCCACAACCACAACCACCAACATGTAGTCGTCTGATTACACCACACAGAAAACAGGCAACCAGGTTTTAGAAAAGAAAATATCAGAGCACACAAATCAGAAATGGGCACCACCCCCTGAAGGGAAAGTAGCATTAATGCCAGTCTTCAAATGACCTGAAATTTTATTTATTTATTTATTCATTTTATAAAACAGGAAAACAGGAAATGCTGCTCATGACCATCAAATAAGTGGACCTCTGATCTCAAACATAAAACAAGCAACAAGGTTTTAGAACAAAAAACGAATGAGCACACAAACAAGAGGAAGATGTTCATTTCTGAAAGCAACATTAAAATTGAAAACATTTTGGAACTGAAACATTCATCAGTAGATTAAAATTTAATGGTTCCTGGTTATAAGTTATAAGTTGAGACAGATTCTTCAGCATTTGGCAGCCTGTCAAAGTAACACATGATCTTGACGTCTGTGATAAGGGGGGGAAATAATAAAGCCCTCTGGAAAGTGAGAGCTCTCTTAAATAGATTTCAACAAAGCTGCCATGAAAAGATTCCCTTCACAGGCCGGTGTCCTGTATGGGCTTTACAAACCAAATCCCATAACTTCAGAGCGCTAGCTTACGCAATTCCTTTTATCCATAATGGACTTCTCAGGCTCCTCAAAAGCTGCTTTTTCCTTTGCCTGAACTTTCATCTTCTTGCTCTAATATCTGGTGGTCATTTGCTGACAGCTCTAAGT